GAGAGAGAGAGAGAGAGAGAGAGAGAGAGAGAGAGAGAGAGCGCTCTTCCAGGGTCACCCCAGGCACAGGACTCAGTGCTGTGACAATCTCTGCATCCTCACGGGAGCAAACATTTGGAGGTGCTTTAGTGACCACACCCAGTTATCTCATGGCTGACCTTGAGCCCCATGCCCTGTCTAGCGACCTGTTCCATTCCCCGGACCTCGTACCTGGATATAGGCGTGGTTGGTAGGGTGAAACTCCTCCCCGACAGGGTTAGGACACTCGCCCTCACAGCGATAGGCGTTGTACTGTTTGGGGTAGATGATCCAGGAGCCCCAGCCAATCAGGTTGAAGTCCACCTGGAACTTGACCCTCCTGCACAGCTGGCTTCTGTCTGGCAAGTGATGTCTCCGGTGCCTTCTGGCCCATCGGCCCCGGTCTTCAGACAGCTGTCCCTCCTGGGCCCGCCAGGAACTTTCGGCTTCCCAGAGCAAAGTGGCGCCACCCAGCTGCCTCTGCTCCTGAGGCCGGTTGGAGTAGAGCATGAGCACGTTGGTGCTGGCGACGGTGAGGGGTGGGATGTGGGGCTGATTCCAGCACTTTCCTTTCAGACCGGATATCTGCTTCTCCAGTGCCCTGGGGTCCTTTAGCCACCTGGAGAGTGGCCGGGTCACCTCCAGGACAGTGCTGTCTGTGGAAAAAGTCACCTGAGACCGGGCGATCGTGAACCGCTCCATCCGAACTCGCTCCAGGCAGTCGCTTGGGTCCTGCCCTGGGTCCAGCTTTGCCTGGTGGAAAATTTCAATGGTGAGTGGGCCCTCCGTGGGGAGGTCCACAGGGCCGGGCAGCGGCAGCCGGAGCTCCGCCCATGCCAGATCCTCTTCTTGGCTCAGAAAAGAGAAGTCAAACGCGAAGGTCCAGTTCTGCCCACTCACTTCCACGTCTGGGGGAGAAGTCAGGGAAGGAAACAGGGTGAGAGGGAGTTCTGTCAGTTCTGTCAGGGTAAGAGCGGTTCTACCAGCTGGGTAGGCTGCCTGTCACCCATCTCTCTCCCTCACCCACCCCCGTTGGCTTGCAAAACCATGGAGTCTGTTTTATTTATTTTGGCTTTTCTGAGGTGGAGTTTCATACTAACTCAGGCAGTATTGGAACCTGATATTTAGCCTGGCCTGGCCTGGAACTCTGGGCCATCCTCTGTCTCAGTCTCTCAAGTGCTAGGGCTACAAGTTAAGCTACCATGTATGTATGTATGTATGTATGTATGTATGTATGTATGTATGCATGCATGTATGTATGTATGTATGTGTGTGTACACACTCAGAGATAGTCCATTTTAGAGATGAAGGAAAATGGAGGCCTGGGAGGTCCAAGGGCTTGTGTAAGACTCTATCTTGAAAAGGAGCCAAAGGGCTGTGGATGGAGCTCAGTTGGTTGAGCCCTTGCCTAGGAAGTACAAAGACCGGGATTTGATCCCCAGCCCTGGTAAACTGGGTGTGGTGCAGCTAACCCGCCCGCAATCTCTGCCCTCCAGAGTACAATTGGAGAGTCAAAAGTTCAAGGTCATCCTCAACTTCATTGAGCGTTCAGGGCCATCCTGGGCTTGAGACTGTGGGGTGCAGGTGGGGGTGGGGGTGCCCAGGGAAGAGGAGGAGGAGGGACAGAAGGAAGGAAGGGAGGGTAAGAGCTAGAAGTAAGTTTGAAATCCCTGTTCTAGCCAGTTCCCTTCAACACACCCTGGGCAGTCAGAGAACAATGGGACTTAGGTGAGTTGCCCAAGGAAATTTCCAGCTTCTGCCTCTGGCAGCTTCTCCCCACCCATCTCTAGCTGCCTTTTTTATTTAATTTCCACTTTCCCTCCTCATTAGCAACATCAGGAGACTCTTCTTCCCCAGCCACCACTGACCCTGGGAGCTAGGTGGGGGCCTCTAGTCACTCCTGCTTCCTGCAGTAGCAGCCTGGGTGTGACCTGAAACTTAAGTGTCTGCAAATGGTCTCTCAGAGCAGGTGCTCCTGCTAGGAGCAGCAGCCTGAGTCCCCCACGACTTGAAGAGTTCCCGTCATGGTTCGAGTTTGACTTTGGGCAGGTGGTTTTCCTTCTCTGGGCCTCCGTCACCTTCTTAGTAGAAAGACGTGATGTTGTGTGCCATAGAACATTTAGGAATGAAATTCACGGAGACGAAGTTGCTAGTAACCGTGATGACCGGTGTGCAGGCAGGGCAGGAAGAAACGGCTTCCTCCTAAGCCACCCCTAGGGTTCCCTGGGGGGGGGGGGGGAGGGTCCTCCAGATGTAGCTCGAACTCATTAAACAACCGATACTGTCAGTGTGAATGGGGTGGGCATGAGGCAGGGGTTCTCTCGGCCACCCTGAAACCCACTTGTGTGCTGAATGTGGATCTGGCAAGGATCGTTAGTACGGTTAGCCACCTCTGATTCTGAAGGTTAAAGTTGCAACTCAGGCTATTTGCTTGCCCCAGGTCTCAGCCAGGGAGGCAAGGGGCTATCATAACTCCTTGCCATTTTCTGCTTCCCATACACCAAGGCTATACAAGAACTGTCTTCCCATCTCCACATCCACCCCCAACTGGTACTGCCATTTTTGCACATGGGTAAACCGCACAAGTGAGGCACAGACAAGCACTAAGATTCCAGCTGACAGACCCCAATCCCGCTATGATGGGGCAGATTACATACTGACTCATGAGGGAAGAAGTGACCTGGAATGCCGCTCTCCCCTAGAGTCCCTCCAGGCAGAGCCTTTTGCTGAAATAGAGGCAGTTGATACCACTGGCTAATAGTTAAAATGCTTTAGACTTTCCAAAAGCGAACAAAAAGTGAGGTGATGTTGCCGTGGAGTCAGGCGACTGCGAAAACAGAATTGGATGGACCCAAGTAGTTTTCCTGAATCCCAGATCACTTACATAAACCTTCAAGAACTTTCTAAAAGGGAAGTGAACTGGAAAGGTGTGTTTTTCCCGCTTTGCCTCTGTCCCACCCTAGGCGGAGGGGCGGAGCACTCCACTCCACAATTTCCCATTGCCTCGCCCTTCAGGGTGCCCGGGTCCCTCGTCCCTAGATGACCCTTCAGGAAAGGGTCACCGGCAGTCTCACCCCAGACGCCGCAGGCAAGGACTAGGGGCTCCGCCTCCAGGTCGCGAGGGCCGGCGGGCGACGGGTCAGACCGGATTAGCAGATGTGGATTGCGTCCGGGTCCCGCGGAGGGCCGTCTGGCCCCGTAGGACAGAGGCCCGGGCTGGCCAAGCTGCCTAGGCGGCGGGATGTGGATTGAGCCCGGGAAAGGAGTTCCGAATCTGGACTCCCTCTCCTGGGCACCCACCTGTCGGTCTAGTCTGGTGAGCGACACTCAGGTCACTGGGCCAACTACACACACGCACACCTCCATCCACACAGGTTCCGAGCCCGGGGTCACCCAGGACACCTGACACCGCCCAGCAACGAGAGCTGCCTGAGTTCTGGACTTCTGGCACTCGATCCCTAATTGCGGATCTTTGAGCCCTAGTTCCTGGTGGCATTTGCGGCAGCCGGGACAAAAACTCAATAACGACCCCTGTTTTAGTATATGCCTGGTTCGTGCAGAGCGTTTCTGGGGGCGGTGGGGTGATGTCACCTAGTCCTCTCCATAAGTCAATGAAGGAGGTCCTACGATTTCTAAATTACAGATGGGCAAACTGAGGCTCCCAGATGCTCAGTGGCGCGATCGGGACCTCGCCCTACCCCCTTACTCGGCCACCTAAGCTAGAACCCGAAAGGCGGTGGGTTCCTCTCCAATCCGGCCACCAGCGTTGTGCCCTGAGCCTGCCCACGCGGAAACATCGTTAAGGCCAGACTCTGGCCAAGCGGTGGTGGCGCACGCCTTTAATCCCAGCACTCGGGAGGCAGAGCCAGGCAGATCTCTGTGAGTTTGAGGACAGCCTGGTCTACGGAGCGAGGAGATCCAGGACAGGCATCAAAATTACACAGAGAAACCCTGTCTCGAGAAAAAAAAAAAAAAAAAAAAAAAGACCAGACTCTGGATGACCCCTTGGTACCCAGTCCCCGCCGCATCCACCGCGTGCCTCCCGGGCCGTGCGCCCTTGGGTGCTGGTGAGGCCAGGCTTGCAGCCTACCTTGCGCCTGGAGGCTGCGGATGATGTCCGCCCGAGGCAGCGGGTCTCGGTAGAGGCTCAGCATGTACGCGAGAGAGGATGGTGACGAGGGCTGACCCCGTGTCCACAGAGGAAAGGCGGCCACCGTCGCGGCGCGCGGCTGGAGTAGAGCCCACCAGGCATGGAGAAGAAGGATAGGGAGGCAGTGGGCACTCATGGTGGGCTAGATGGACCCGCAAACCGCGCCTGGGTCCCTTATATCTCCGCCACCGCCGCCCCGCCCCCTCCCTTCCTCCCTCCTGAGAGGCCTTTAAGAACCTAGAACTCCCCTGGCGGGGCAGGGCAGGGGAGTCCCTGCCGGGGGAAGGTGCGATGTGATGAGATGTGACTGATAAATTGGAGTGGGGGGCTTGGATGCAGAGACTGAGTCTGGGCTGCCCCCGCACCTTGCCACCTCTACCTCAGAAAGTCTTACTCCTGAGCCAGCAGGCTGTTAACCTGTTGTGAATGGTGCTCCGCTGAGCTGGAGGTGTGTTGGAGCCCTGGTTTCAAGCCCAGAACCACAACAATGGCTTCCTTACTCTTCCTCTCCTGGACCCCTGGTGATCCTCTCTTTTCAGCTCATCCAAAATCACGTAGGGAGTGCTGGGGTGGAGGGGGCGATCCTCTGTTCTTGGGTAGCACCAGACCTGCTTGGGGTACATACAGCCTTCCTTGGCAAGTACTGGGTATGGGGAGTTTGGGGAGAACGAAGGTGAGATCGAGAGGAAGCGCCTTGGTGACAAATGTCAGCTTCAAATACCAAAGCGCCCTCCTGGGGAGCAGAGGGAGGCCCAGCGAGAGCTCACCCAGGTGTTTTGGGTGGTGACAGGCCCTTCCCTGCCTGCTACTGGAGTTTTCCAAAAGGGGGGGGGGGGGGGGGGGACTGGGGCCTGCTGGCTGCATCTCCTACAACAGTGGCAGGACCCTTAGTTATCCTCAAGACGATTGCTCCATCTCCCTGAGGCCTGATGCTGACCTTGTCTGCCCAGACGGAACTAAACGACTTTTATTTTCTCAATCAAAGGAACTCTCATCGATCGTATTTGTTTGCGTGGTACTCGGTATAATAAAAATGTCATATTCATAAGGGGTGTTATTTATGTTAAGAGGGTGAACATTTTTTTTTCCACACTGTACAAATGATTGCGTTCATAGGAATGGAGAAGAGAATTTGGGGAATGGAAAGATCCTAGGCTTTGTGTTCTCAAAACGCAAGGCAGGATTGGAATTACCTTTTAAAGAAATGTAAATTCCTGTCCCGAAGTCCGCCCCCTGTTTTCCTCCACTGTTGCTGGCTTTCTCCTTAGCTGCTCCCCGCCCCCCACCCCGTCCTTTTCAAGCCTCCAACTAGCACATTAGCAGCTGGCTAACATTTACTGAACACCTACTATGTGCTGGGTACTTTGCACAGCCTGAGACGTGAGCAGATGTTAAAGGGGACCGAGGCTCCCTGGGGCCTGCGGACCTGCATGATCTTGTAGGAGCTGGAAGGAGCCTCACGTTGCAGGCTAGCTCCCACAGGTCCTGGGGACCTGCACACCAGCTGGTTTACCCTGACCTCCCACTCAATATCATAGCCTGGCCCAAGCATTTTTCTTTTCCCGCAACAGGGTTTCATGTAGCCCAGGCTAGCCTTGAACTCGTTTTGTAGCTGAGGCTGACCTTAAAATTTGATCCTCTTGCCTCCACCTCCTAAGTACTCAGCTTACATTACAGGTGTCCTGGTCGTGGGATTGAGCCTATGACTTCATGCCTGCTAGGTGGACCCATAGGAACCAAGTTTCCCCTCTAGTCCCAGCTGCAGACCCACAGTGCTGAGCACCAAGTCTGGACTTGCCCGAGGATGCCAGTCTCCTGGGCTGTTTGTTAAACCCTGGGCTCCACACTTCCCTCTAGACTTCAGAATTAGAATTGGGAGAGAGGGTGTGGTGATCTGCATATTCAACAAGCTCCCCAGTGGTTCTTATCTGAAGGCTTTGGAAACCTGGGTGGGCCAGGTTACAGTTTTGTAGGATGTGTCCCAAATAAAACAGCTGGAGAGATCTCCTAAGCACTTAAAACTAAGTGCTTAAAAGGCTCTGAACCCTGTTGAAAGGATTATACATAGGGATGGGTATCAGTGTTCCTGATCAATGTTACTTGATGGGAGTTAGGAGCTCCTGCCCTCTGGAGCAGACCCCTCCCCAGAGGTGGACAGCACCTGGATCCTAGCAGATAGAAATTAAACAATGACAGATTGCTAGGCATGGGGGAGGTGCTTTTAATCCCAGCACTCTGAGAGGTAGAGGCAGGAAGATCTGTGAGTTCGAGGCCAGTCTGATCTACATAGCAAGTTCTCTCGGTGAGTTCCAGCTGGCATGCCAGGCCAGCAAGGCTACATAGTGAGAACCTGACTAACAAAAATATGAGCACCAAGTATGGCAATGCAGAGGGGTGCTGAAGAAATGAAAATTCTAGAACCCGTGACTGCCAGAGTCTGGACTCCTAGGATTCAGGTGGCTAAGGGTAAATTTATGTACCAAGAGTCAAGAAGATGATTTTATGGTTTTTCTTTCTCTTTTTAATTAATTTATTTTTATTTTATGTGCATTGGCGTTTTGCCTGCATGTGTGAGCTTGTTGGGTCTCCTGAAACTGGAGTTACAGACAGTTGTGAGCTGCCATGTAGGAGCTGGGAAATGAACCTGGGGCCTCTGGAAGAGCAGTCAGTGCTCTTAACCGCTGAGCCATCTCTCCAGCCCCCAACTTTATGGGTTTTCTACCTTCAGTGCTAAGTTAGAAGCTTCTCTTAAGCTCTTGGCATCCTGTGTCTCTTGCGCTATGTGGCACATAGAAGTGTAAGAATGTTAAGTGCCGGGCGGTGGTGGCGCATGCCTTTACTCCCAGCACTCGGGAGGGAGAGGAATGCGGATCTCTGTGAGTTCGAGGCCAGCCTGGTCTACAAGAGAGAGTTCCAGGACAGCCAAAGCTACACAGAGAAACTTTGTCTTGAAAAAAAAAAAAAAAAAAAACAAACAAGCGAGTTGAAGTTAATGATAACAGCAATGGCTAATTATTGAGAGGCATGTGCATTGCGCATTCAGCTAAGTTTCCTTGGATTTCATTATCTGCCCCATGTCCAAGACAGGAGGACTGTAAGGCGAAGTGGAAGCTCCCGAGGAGAAGGTGATGTTCTGGCCCCAAGATACCCAAGGAACAGCCAGCAGGAGAGGCAGGTCTACCTGTCACCTGCATCCATGCTTTAATTCCTGGTGTTTTCTCATAAAAGAGGGGAGAAAAGGAGGAGAAGGAGAAGAACGAGCTGGTGAGATGGCTCAGTGGGAAAAAGCACTTGCTACCAAACCGGGTGACCTGAGTTCGATTCCTGTAACTCATACAGTGAAGGGAGATTGACACCTGAAGGTTGTTCTCTGCCACGGCACAGCACATCAATATGTAAGGAAATGCTTTAAAAGTTGTTTGTAAATCCTCTCTCCCTCCCTCCCTCCCTCCCTCCCTCCCTCCCTCCCTCCCTCCCTCCCTCCCTCCCTCCCTCCCTCTCTCTCTCTCTCTCTCTCTCTCTCTTCTCTCCCTCTTTGGTTTTTCGAGAGAGGGTTTCTCTGTGTAGTCCTGGGCTGTCCTGGAACTCACTACCTAGACCAGGTTGTCCTTGGACTCACAGAGATCCACCTGCCTCTGCCTCCTAAGTTTGTGCACTACCATGCCCAGCCATATTTAAAAAAAAAAAAATTAAAGGGGAAAAAAAGAAAACACAGGCAATACTTATAATCCCAGGAAATGGAGTCAGGAGAATCTGCCAGGATAGCTTTAGCTACATAGTAACTAAACTCAATGAGACCCTGTGTCCAAAAAAAAAAAAAAAGTTGTGTGATGACCATTTTTGATTGTCAACTTGATTATATCTGGAATGAACTATAATCCAGGAATGGAGGACACACTTGTGATCTGGATCTTGAGGCCAGAAGACAACATGCCTCTGATCCGGATCTTGAGGCTGGAAGGCACACCTTTAGTTTAGGCCACACCTTCTGCTGGAAGCCTATGTAAGGACAATGGAGGAAGGAAGGGGTCTTCCTCCACCTGCTTGCACTCACCTTGTTGCCTTGCTAGCGCATCCATTCCAGCTGAGACCCCCAGCCTCGTGGGAGTGAGCAGCTGCTAGGTTCTTGGACTTCTCATTCACCATAGCTATTGTTGGATTGCAGCCTGTAAATCATTGCAATAAATTTCCGTAAAAATATATTCCCAAATATAGATAGATAGATAGATAGATAGATAGATAGATAGATAGATAGATAGATAGATAGATAGATTCATTCCATAAGTTCTGTGACTCTAGAGAACCCTGACTGATACAGTTGTGCACATGTGTCTTGTAGAAGTTTTTTTTAGGTTCCCGAGCCTTGCCCTCATGTGACCGGGGCTGCAGACAGAGCTCATTTCTTGTGTGTATTGGCCCCCAGCTGCCTGGGGATCTGGGGTTTCTCCTTGGACTGTCTGACAAAGCTCGTCCATCTCCAGCATTCTCTCGCTCCTCCTCGGGAAGAGGACCCACGTCTTCGCAGCCTCTTCAGGACACAGGCCAACCATCAAGTCACCCTTCTCCCTTAATTAAGGGCATTAGTTAGTCCCAGGGTTGTTTCCTGAAAGGCGGAGGGTGACACTTTCTCACTTCCCCAGACAGTCTGACCTGAATGATAACCTCCGGGGTCACACCGCTGCTGGGGGGCGCGGGGGGGGGGGGCCGGGGGCGGGGGGGGGCCCGGGGGGGGGCAAAGTCTCTTGAGGTGGCAGAGGCTTCCAGCAGGCTGCTCTTGCTGTCTCCCAGACTTGAACACCAGCGTGGGGCATGTGATTATTCTAGGCCCTTGAAGTCAGGCTTGAGAAAGCAAATCTCAGTTCTTCTCTCACCACCTCAATGTACTGAGTCAATTGTTGACTATCTTTCTTTCTTTGTTTTGTTTTTCCAGACGGGGTTTCTCAGTGTAACCCTGGCTGTCCTGGAACTCGCTCTGTAGACCAGGCTGGTTTTCAATTCGGAGATCCGCCCACCTCTGCCTTCTGCATGCTGGGATTAAAGGTGTGCACCACCAGCACCTGGCTTAATTGTTTACTCTCTTAAAAACAAAGCACTGATGTATTTATTTGTGTTTGTGTATGGATCATACATGTGCCC